ATATCCCGCCACGTTGAGTAAGCCTAGTGGTTTGTTATGGTAGCCTATTTGCGCCCAAGTCCAAACCTCAAACAACTCTTCAAATGTGCCGATTCCTCCAGGTAATGCCAAAAAAGCATCTGCGTTTTGCATCATTAAAGCTTTGCGTTCATGCATGTTAGGAACAACCAAAAGCTCAGAGCAGTCGCTATGGGCAACTTCTTTGTCCACCAGCATTTGCGGAATAATCCCCAGCACTTGTCCGCCCGAATGCAATGTTGCATCCGCCAATACGCCCATCAAACCATTGCGGCCACCGCCATATACCAATCTGCCGTTGTGCTGGCCTATCCAAGCACCCAGCTGCTCTGCCGCTTGGGCATAGTCAGGCAAATAGCCTGGGTTTGAACCACAATAAACACATATTGAAAAGACATATTTAGGCTTGATTATTTCTATGCTCATAAAAAACATTAATATTTAATTAACACTAGGGTAAGGAAAAATGATGCCAAAGCGCCATTGCCCAAACTGCTGCACACAAAAGCATAGATAAAAATACCGCTGCGCTGCCCACATCTTTGGCTTTTTTGGCATTCACATGCCACTCATGCCCTATGCGATCTACCGCTGCTTCTATACCAGTATTAAGCAGTTCGGCCACAAGGACGAGTACCACCACCGTCCAAAGTAACGCCACCTCTACCCAGCTTTTGCCTATCCAGCAGGCAGCTGGCAGCATCAGCATGGCTAGTACCAGCTCTTGCCGCCAAGCACCACGGTCCGCCCAAGCCGCTTTGAGACCATGCAAGGAATACACTGCAGCCCACCAAATACGCCCGATTCCGGTGCGTTTGGGAGGGACTTGCCTTTGGGGCTCAGGAAGCTTAGTTTGCATAAATCAAAAAATAGAAATTTTGTCGCCTTGCCCACCGCTCTTAAGTTTGTTTGCGCTGAGGTTTTGAATGCTTAAAAACTACTAAGCGTGTGCCCGCCAAGGCATCGTGCCAGAACTGGCGCTGGGGATGAAAACGGCTCAGCACTGCCCAAACTG